CGAATACACTCCCCCGCGAGGATGGCCTTGCCTATTGTGAGGGGGCGAAGGCGCCCCGCACTCCAGTCCCGCCGGCGGCTGCTTATCTGGAAGCCCCCGGGCGAGGGGCGGGGTAGCGGCGTCGGACGCACCGCGTGACGCAGGCTGAGTGACGCAGGGGCTGGCCTACCGGCTATGCGGCAGCTGTTCCCGGGCGGCTGCCCCGGCCGAACGCCCACGCACCGCCGGCCGGCTGGGCGCCGACGCGGGGAGGAGCAACGCCGGACCGGAAGCAGGGACACGCCGGAAGGGGCGGGATCCCACGGTCCGGGAGTCTGCGCAGGGATTTAAACTCCCAGAGATGCCACAGAGAGGGGAGGGACGAGGAAGCGGTCTCTCGTCGAGGCCCAGCAGCGGATGGAACCCAAGGCAAAGAGGTGAGCCTAGAGGCAAGGGGATCTGACCACGGAGAGAGGAAGTAGCCCAGGGCAGGCAAAGGGAGCCCGTGGGCTGGCGAGTTACAGCGGATCGCCCCGCCAGCCGGACCGGACAGCAGAAGCGTCCGTGTTCTTAGGTCCCTGGGCTGGGGTCCGTGAGAGGGGGCGGGCCCGGACCCCCCTCTCCCCGCAGTCGGCGAGGGACCTGTTTACACCTATACACAACGGCCTGGTGAAAATTAAACTTAGGTTGGACATTAGGAAAAACTTCCTAACTGTCAGGGTGATTAAACACTGGAATAAGTTGCCTAGGTAGGTTGTGGAATTTCCATCTCTGGAGATATTTAAGAGGGGGTTAAATAGATACCTATCAGGGATGGTCTACTGTAGCTAGTGCTTCATCCTGCCGTGAGGGCAGAAGACTGGACTCGATGACCTCTTGAATTCTATGAATTGCAACTCACTTTATCAGATGCACGAAGTGAAAGCAAAAAACCAGATATTTGGAATATAGAGCTGGGAGTGTTACATAAGAGCCAGTTCATCACTCCAACCTCTGTATCCCTACTACCTCCTTTAACCAATTCTCTCTGGCCTGCTGCATATATAGACCACAGAATACATGAATAGGGAGCCTGGGGAAGGAGGGGGGGAACAGAAAAATCTGTCTCCAGCAGATGGGCAGTAGTAGTGGGCCAGCAGTGGCCGTGTAGCTCTGGCTCCAGCCGCACTACTCCAACTCCAGATGGCAGTTCCAGCCGCAGCTTTCCAGCCTCAGCCATGCAGCCCAGGCAGTTGCTGAGCTAGAGGGAGCTGTAGAGCTCAGGCTGACCAGGCAGCAGCAGGGGGGCCTGGAGCCCTAGTGGCGGTGTATAGGACAGGCAGCAGTTTTAACACAGGCCAAGAAGAGAGGGACTTCTCCTGGTCCAGCAAATCACCTTCATTTGGGTCAGGTCATGTCCCGAGGGTCCCAGAGCAGAGAGGTTCAACCTGTATCTGTTACTTTTTATCACTTCAGGCATCTGATGAAGTGAGCTACAACTCAAAAAAGCATATGCCATAATAAAATTGTTAGTCTATAAGGTGCCATTGGTCTCCTTATTGTTTTTGCTGAAACAGAGTAACATAGCTATGTCTGAAACCTGTCACATATAAAACGTCACACATGGGCAGCTCTAGGGCTCCAGTGGTGATTTAAAGGGCCAAGAGTTCCTGACTAGTACTACCACTACTGCAGCAGCAGCGACCATGGCAACGAGAAGACCCAGGCCCTTTTGAGTCACTGGGACTCAATCAACTTCCCCTTTTGTCCCTCTCCCACCCCAGCCCCTATCAGCAGGCTTAGTGAACTGCCTCTAAGAAATATGTAGGAAGTGGTAGCTTCAAATCCATTTATATGAACCATAGTGTATGGCACAAAATGTCAGTCTTTCATACTGCATGGGTTTTAGGTTTCAAAAGGAATTGTAAAATTACTGCATTGCAGATGTAAATTCCCAAATCAGTATATATTAATAAAATGCAATGTACAATATCATAGAAGTGTCAATTCAGAATATATCTATTTTAAATATCACATTCTGGTTTATTTAATGAATTTATGTGATTTTTAATTTGTAACACTACTAACATGTATTAAAAATAGTGCACATTTTTAAAATGCATTTTATTGTTAAAGAAACCATCTTTATAATTAAATGTCTCTCTTTCAGAAAATGTTGGGTATTGTTTCATTTTGAATAAATCTTACCTTCATGGAATTAAATTGAGTATTGTAGCTAATATGGAAAATTGAAAATGGGAAGACAAAGTGAAGCTTTTTTCCTATGATTTGCATGTCTACTGTTGTCTTACTAGTTATTTCATATCTTTTTTAAGCTATTGAATTATATTTTCATGGTATTTTCATTATATAGCCCAGGATCCTTTGGATTTAGGTAATGCTACTGTTAAATCTTTTTTAATTAAGAGCATTAAGTTGTCGCTTGAAATGTTACTAGTTTTTTGTACCTGTGGAATATTTATTAAGATTGGTATGTTTGGTTTGTGTAGCACTATTAAAAGCCAATAAAAAGAAATTGAAAAAGTGGAGTATAAAATACTACCATAGCAAGATAGTGGGAAGTCATAAAGTTAATTACTTGTTACATTAAAAGTGGAGAATTTTGGAATTGTCTATAGCTCCTTTTTACTATTCTTTGTATTACACCAAGTAAATTAAAGTTCTTCAAAATGTGGTTTGATATTGGTGTTTTCAATGTATGTTTTCTAGAAACAGTATATATATGGGATAATAAAAAGTTATTTCCACAAGTTCACTAAGAAAATGCCAGAATTCTCTTAATCATATTCTTTAAGTTCACAGTCGTTGTCACTACTTATGTTTGCAAAAAAACGTAGGGTGAAAGACAGCCTTTTTATGCAGATTTCAGTATTTCACAAAAAGAATCCCTTGTAAATGTTGACTTGAGAACTATAATGATAGCTTTATGAAGCTGGCAGAATGAGAATTTGCATACTGGAATGTGGTAACCTATGCACTGGTGTTGCATGAATAAAATAGTTTTAAAAGACAGTGCTGAGTACCTCATGACACAGGTTTGATTTATTGCATGTTTTTCACCGAATCCCTGGTGGTCGTTGACTCTTTCAATAAAAGGTCCTATGCGTGTCTCTTGCATGACTGTTTATTGTCTCATTTTGTATCTGTGTTCCATGTGTAATTAATATCCAAATGTTCTCTTTTTTTCCTTTTCCCTTTTTGTAGAAATTATTGAGCCTACTACCTCTAGTCCTGTCTCAAGCCCAGGTCAGTATCCACATACATTCACAAAGTATGTTTGGGTACTCTCACTCTTCAGGAATCATGACTTTTACATTGTCATATCAATAAGTTGAATTGATATTGGGCAGTATTGCTTTTGGTACTGCTGAGTTTGTCTCTTCCCTGTCTTTTGTTCATTCATCAGTCTGTCCTTCCTTGAGCTGTATACTGTACTCTCTTCTTAGTTTCTTTCTTTGAAACTGTGCTCTGGTTTGTGTGTATCTCTTTTTCTCTCAACAAAGTGTACAAATGCATACAAGCGGGTTTAGTTGTGCATTGCCTTTACTTTTGAGTACTATGTGTGGTGTTAGCTGTAGAAAACTGCTGGTTTGGCTTATGATAAACAAAGCACTTCTTGTGCCTTTTGTAAACCTTTTTCTGTAATATCTAATAAAATGAAAGAATGTATTTAGCTTTTCTGAAAGAAACATTCCAAAACATCAAAACTTATGAGAAACTCATAGAAAGGATTTCAAGGAAGTCACTGCTGTGCGATTCTCCTCATAGAAGTCATGCAAAAAAATGTTGAAGAGCCTTCCCCTACACTTGCCCCCAAAAGGTTCTATGAGACCTGAGGAACATCCATATAAAGGCCTTGACCCCTTTATTTCTTTTTATTCATTCCCTTAGCAGTGTGTCTCCATTAGAATCACTCTAAAGGTGTGTCTAGACTACATGGTTCTGTCGACTGAGCCATGTAAAGTAGTTTACTCGACATAGTCAATGAAGTGGGGATTTAAGTAATGGTGGCTTACACAAGGCTTACAGAAGCGGTTTCATGAAGCTTACAGGAGCGGTCGACAAAGGCTTCCCTTGTCGACCGTGCCGCGTCTAGACTGCAGCGCTGTGCCAGATCAGCTGATTGTCAGCACAGCGTGGCAGCCATTATTATTTTAATGAAGCAGGGATTATTTAAATCCCCGCTTCATTGACTATGTCGAGTAAACTACTTTACAGGGCTCCGTTGACAGCCATGTAGTCTAGACACGCCCTAACAGAACTGCCTCAGCCATGACTGTCCCCATAATGAAGTGGGAGGAGGAACAGTCCCAGTCTGTATTATTTTTTCTTACTAATATCCACAAGGGAAGGGCAGGGGGAAATGACCTTCCTGACTGAACTTTCTTCCCCTAATGAATCCAAAGAGTTCTCCAGGGAGTTGGAAGATGGCACAAAACTTTTCTTGAGAGATGCAGGATTATGGTTTCTGTGCTTTTCTCTGCTATGAAACATGGAAAGGCAAAAAACAAAGTAAAATTAATCCTTTAATCCTCTACAGGAGTAGAAATGAGGAAGGGACAGAGGACCAATCCATTGTGTCTTCTGTGGCACTATCAGCCCTATCTCCCTTTTCCATCAGGGTAATAATCACTAGAGTCTCAACAAGGTGACTAATGTTCTCCTGCCCCACTGGACTTACTGAAGGAGAGTAAAATATAACCCAGAGTAAAGTGTTCACTGGCCAATGACATAGAAGTCAAGGAGATTCAATAAAGGCGAGAGAATTACAGAACAGCTTTAGGTCCACAAAGGTTAACTTCATCATCATCATGCTTTGATGCTCAATGGGATCCATGATGGGTTCCATGCTTATGCTACAATGGCATCTGCATGGATAACCAAGTGAAAAAAAAGTGCAAAAAGACTGCCATTGGACTTAAGCAGGGGAGAAAGGAATGGGGAGGGGGAAACAAGTGCATTATGGGGTGCTGACAACATGTACCTAAAGCCACCTGTGGCACATTTTTGGTCCCAGCATGCACTGGGAACATAACCCAGAATGCAAGGAGGCACAGGAATTGTGGAATTGCTATCCACAGTGCATCATTCTCAAAGTCAATGGTAGCCATTCTACTGGGGATGTGCTACTTCGAACTACATCAATTTCTTGCACACAGTGGGGACATGCATCTTCAGCTTTACAAAACTGAGTGCTAAAAAGTCATTCTTAATAAATTTAACCTTATCTTGCAGTGTAGACATGGATTAGTGGGCTCATGAGACTGCCATGGTTAAGTGGGGATGTAGAAAAGTAATAAAATAAACAAAAGGCTTTTATTCAAGGTGCAGTCTACAAAATAGGAATTGCACACCTTTAGAGTCAAAGAGAAGAAATTTAAGAGAAGCAAAAGTACTTCATGAATGAACTATATTGTAATAATGAACTATATGATATAATCTAACTTTATATAATTTAAAAGATGAATTTAAAATGCATTTGCAAAATGAAAAATATCAGACAGAGTTGATCTGTTGACAGTCCAGAAGCAGATCTTGCATAACTAGAAACTGTTCCTTTGCTATTTCTTACACTGTTCTATTCTGTGTATATTAAATATCTAGGGCAATGTTTCTCAAAGTGGTCCATGGAACCACGCTGAGAAAACTGCTACTGGGCCGCTTCAGTTTGTTTACTTGCCAGCTCCACAGCAACGGAGCCTAACAGCTCTCATTGGCTGTGGTTCAATGTTTGCATCTAAGGGGAGTCGTGGAGTTCTGTGGCTGCAGAGCTGGTAAGTAAACAAACCTGAGTGGCCCAGTAGCAGCTTTCTCGGACCACTTTGAGAAACACCGATATAGGGCATGTTATTATTATTGTATAATTTCATGTAATGTCAAAGGCAATTAAAACTTTCCAGGATACTCAAGATCTGAGCCCCTAATGTGCCTCAGTCTCAACAGAGCAGGACAACAGTGAACTAAGATGGTACTGTTGCTGTGGACTGTGTTTGTGGAGCAAAGTGGAGGTGCTTAGGACCAGAATAAATGTTTTAGTAGAAATTAAAGATTGTTAGATTACTATAAGAGATGTCCATGTTTTTTCAAATGAGGGTAGTGAAGTTAACTTCATATTTTATAAAGTCTTTGCCACATCAGTTTCTGATTCAACAGGACTGGAAAATTGAATTATTAATCCCATTATTCACAAAAGTAAGGTCTATGAAATGTAGCAAGTGATAAGATTAAAAGAAAACTGTGCTGTGATCTGCCTGCAGTGAGAATGTATAAAAGATAAGGGGTGTTTTTCACTATGATGAATTGTACAATGCATTTTAAAAACTAATATATTTGTGTAGTGTAAGTGGCATTTCTGAGCTTATTGCTAGCCATTTTGGTTTTAAAAAATCATGTTATCCCATTAATGTTAAACCACAATACAAAAGATTGTATGCGTATTTCGATCTGTTTTATCACTGGTTGAACAACCAAAAAAATTTAAATATTAAACTTAACATAAATATTAAACATAGGAATTCCTTTTCTGTTTTGATCTTATTAGCATTGTGGCAGGTTTACAGTCTTCTCAAAGCTTTATGCATAACTTTTTTTAGTAAAATGCTACACTGAGATTACCAGGCTTTAGACATGACAAATGAAGTTTAAAAAATTTAGGTCCAATCTTTTTCTTATTGAAGACAATGACAAAACTTTTTCCATGCTGTAAATTTGCAGCTATATGAGATTTTTTATTCATAGATCAAAATGCTTATCAAAATATAGAGTGCTGGTATAATTTCAGGCATTGTCAGAAACAATTTTGGGGAGGATTTAATAAACATAATTTGAAAAACAACTAATTTTTCAAAGGCAAGAATTGTTTAGCTAACTGGCTGTCACTGGTTTTCAGAGATGTTGCCATCATTATAGAGAAAATAAATGCAGTGGTGATTGTATCCTGAAATTAAGTCAAAGCATTCATTAGGAATTCAGTGTCAAAAACTATTGACTAGCCAGCAGAATTCATGATGTGATGATGAAAATGCTGTTTTGTAGAAAATTGGCTTAGGCACAATATAAAAATGAGTAATTGACAATCTCTGCAGCTGGAAGTTTTTTGGATTTGAGTATACAAAGTAGACTGATAGCTGTAGAAGCAAAAAAATCATAGAAATAGTAGCAGGAATATACAAAAAACTAATAGTTGTTAGTGTACAGACCAAGAAGGAATTCAACAGTACTGCAGAAATATGTTGGAAATCATTATCCTTGTCCACAGCTGTATTTAAAAAGGATAATGATGCTAGGAAGCATCAAGAGAGAAGGTAAAACTCAAAATAAGTCTTTCTTTTCAAGGAATCAGGTCAGGATTCACTGCAAATACATTCTTCAGTATTGCCATCTTTTCATAAAATCACTACAAGTTGAACCACTCTAATCTGGCTCACTCTGGTTCCAGTAACATCCCTGGTTTGGCATGATTTTAGTTAGCCAGATGTCCAATTATCATGGGAGTGACCATGTTTTCCGTGGTCCAATAAAGATTGTTTACAGCCACCATTCCTGGATCTCAGTGTTTGGTGCTGTTATTTAGCTCTAATTTACCCCTAAATATCCTCTAAGAGCCCAGTAAGCACTGGAAGTGTTAATAATGCTGCTAATGTTAGTAATGGTGCTAGACAATATTGATGTCCCAGGGTTCAGCAAATTCTCTGGTTTGGCACTGGTCTGATCCCGAGAGTGCCGATCTAGAGAGGTTCAACCTGTACTTCAGCCAAAACCAGCTCTGTAAACTTGTTCATGATCTCTTATTAAATTATTACTAATTATAATTAGTTTCACTGAAATACGTTAAAATATGTTTGTAATTTATTTAATGTGGATTGGGAAATAATGCACATTGGGAAAAAATAACCCCAACTATACATATAATATGATGGGGGCTTATTTAGCTACAACTAATCAGGAAAGAGATCTTGGTATCATCGTGGATAGTTCTCTGAAGACGTCCACGCAGTGTGCAGCGGCAGGCAAAAAAGCAAACAGGATGTTAGGAATCATTGAAAAAGGGATAGAGAATAAGACAGAATATTGCCCTTATATAAATCCATGGTATGCCCACATCTGGAATACTGTGTACTCCAGAAAAGGTTCATTAGAAAAAGTTCAGAGAAGGGCAACTAAAATGATTAGGAGTTTGGAACGGATCCCATATGAGGAGAGATTAAAGAGACTGGGACTTTTCAGCTTGGAAAAGAGGAGACTAT